GACAAGCTAACACAGTATTATTATTAGATTATTATTATTATTATTACTTAATATAGGGACCCTGAGACAGGGTAATAGGCAGTATTATTATTATTATATTATATAATTATTATATTATTATTATTATTACTTAATATAGGGACCCTGAGACAAGCTAACACAGTATTATTATTATTATTATATTATTATTATTATTATTACTTAATATAGGGACCCTGAGACAAGCTAACACAGTATTATTATATTATTATATTATTATTATTAGTATATTATTATTATTATATTATTATTATTACTAAATATAGGAACCCTGAGACAAGCTAACACAGTATTATTATATTATTATTATTATTACTAAATATAGGAACCCTTAGACAGGGTAACAGACTATTATTATTATTATTATAGTGTTATTATAATTACTTAATATAGGGACCCTGAGACAAGGTAACAGACTATTATTATATTATTATTATTACTAAATATAGGAACCCTGAGACAAGGTAACACAGTATTATTATATTATTATTATTATTATTATTATATTATTATTATTATATTATTATTATTACTAAATATAGGAACCCTGAGACAAGCTAACACAGTATTATTATATTATTATTATTATTATTACTAAATATAGGAACCCTTAGACAGGGTAACAGACTATTATTATTATTATTATAGTGTTATTATAATTACTTAATATAGGGACCCTGAGACAAGGTAATAGACAGTATTATTATATCATTATTATATTATTATTATTATTATTACTTAATATAGGAACCCTGAGACAGGGTAACAGACTATTATTATTATTATATTATTATTATTATATTATTATTATATTATTATTATTACTAAATATAGGAACCCTGAGACAAGCTAACACAGTATTATTATATTATTATATTATTATTATTATTATTATTATTATATTATTATTATTACTTAATATAGGGACCCTGAGACAAGGTAACAGACTATTATTATTATTATATTATTATTATATTATTATTATTACTAAATATAGGAACCCTGAGACAAGCTAACACAGTATTATTATATTATTATATTATTATTATTATTATTATTATTATTATTATTATATTATTATTACTTAATATAGGGACCCTGAGACAGGGTAATAGACAGTATTATTATTATATTATTATTATATTATTACTTAATATAGGGACCCTGAGACAACCTAACACAGTATTATTATATTATTATTATATTATTATTATTACTTAATATAGGGACCCTGAGACAACCTAACACAGTATTATTATATTATTATATTATTATTATTATTATTATTACTGAATATAGGGACCCTGAGACAAGCTAACACAGTATTATTATATTATTATTATATTATTATTAGATTATTATTATTATTATTATTACTTAATATAGGGACCCTGAGACAGGGTAATAGACAGTATTATTATTATATTATTATTATTATATTATTACTTAATATAGGGACCCTGAGACAAGCTAACACAGTATTATTATTAGATTATTATTATTATTATTACTTAATATAGGGACCCTGAGACAGGGTAATAGGCAGTATTATTATTATTATATTATATAATTATTATATTATTATTATTATTACTTAATATAGGGACCCTGAGACAAGCTAACACAGTATTATTATTATTATTATATTATTATTATTATTATTACTTAATATAGGGACCCTGAGACAAGCTAACACAGTATTATTATATTATTATATTATTATTATTACTTAATATAGGACCCTGGAGACAAGCTAACATACAGTATTATTATATTATTATTATTACATATTATTATATATTACTTAATATAGGGACTCTGAGACAGGGTAATGGCTGTATTATTATTATATTATTATTAATATATTATTATTATATTATTATTATTACTAAATATAGGAACCCCTGAGACAAGCTTAACACAGTATTATTATATTATTATACATATATTATTATTATTATTATTATTATATTATTATTATTACTTAATATAGGGACCCTGAGACAACCTAACACAGTATTATTATATTATTATATTATTATTATTATTATTATTACTGAATATAGGGACCCTGAGACAAGCTAACACAGTATTATTATATTATTATTATTATATTATTATTAGATTATTATTATTATTATTACTTAATATAGGGACCCTGAGACAGGGTAATAGACAGTATTATTATTATATTATTATTATTATATTATTACTTAATATAGGGACCCTGAGACAACCTAAATACAGTATTGTATTTATATTATTATTATATTATTATTATTACTTAATATAGGGACCCTGAGACAACCTAACACAGTATTATTATATTATTATATTATTATTATTATTATTATTATTATTATTACTGAATATAGGGACCCTGAGACAAGCTAACACAGTATTATTATATTATTATTAGATTATTATTATTATTACTTAATATAGGGACCCTGAGACAGGGTAATAGACAGTATTATTATTATTATTATTATTATTACTTAATATAGGGACCCTGAGACAAGCTAACACAGTATTATTATATTATTATTATATTATTATTATTACTTAATATGGGGACCCTGAGACAAGCTAACACAGTATTATTATATTATTATTAGATTATTATTATTACTTAATATAGGGACCCTGAGACAAGCTAACACAGTATTATTATATTATTATTAGATTATTATTATTATTATTATTACTTAATATAGGGACCCTGAGACAGGGTAATAGACATTATTATTATTATTATTATTATTATTATATTATTATTATTATTATTACTTAATATAGGGACCCTGAGACAAGCTAACACGGTATTATAATATTATTATTATATTATTATTATTACTTAATATAGGGACCCTGAGACAAGCTAACACAGTATTATTATATTATTATTAGATTATTATTATTACTTAATATAGGGACCCTGAGACAAGCTAACACAGTATTATTATATTATTATTAGATTATTATTATTATTATTATTACTTAATATAGGGACCCTGAGACAAGCTAACACAGTATTATTATATTATTATTAGATTATTATTATTACTTAATATAGGGACCCTGAGACAAGCTAACACAGTATTATTATATTATTATTAGATTATTATTATTATTATTATTATTATTACTTAATATAGGGACCCTGAGACAAGCTAACACAGTATTATTATATTATTATTATTATATTATTATTATTACTTAATATAGGGACCCTGAGACAAGCTAACACAGTATTATTATATTATTATTATTATATTATTATTATTATTATTATTACTTAATATAGGGACCCTGAGACAAGCTAACACAGTATTATTATATTATTATTATTATTATTATTATTATTACTTAATATAGGGACCCTGAGACAAGCTAACACAGTATTATTATATTATTACTTAATATAGGGATCCTGAGACAAGCTAACACAGTATTATTATATTATTATTATTATTACTAAATATAGGAACCCTGAGACAGGGTAACAGACAGTATTATTATTATTATTATTATTATTACTTAATATAGGGACCCTGAGACAGGGTAATAGACAGTATTATTATTATTATTATTATTATTATTATTATTATTACTTAATATAGGGATCCTGAGACAGGGTAACAGACAGTATTATTATTATTATTATTATTATTATTATTAT